GTTTGTGATTCTGTAGCGCCAGTCCACAAGGTTCAAAGTAGTATGGTCTTCACCAAGACACACAGGCTTCACTCGCTCAAAGCCATTTTTAACCATTGACCTTAGAAAGAGAATCGTATGAGCATGCTCAGTATGAAGATACATAGGTTGTGACTAATACTAAGAAAGATATTAAGACACCAATACAAGTCCTAAAATAAAAACAGTACTTGGTTCAATCATGAAACAGAATATAGTAATACTATAAATTGTATGGAGTCCCCACGGTGATACGTAATAGTTATCGAGGCTAGTCTGGTTGTGAGTTGTCCTATCCTCACTGGGTGTTTTGTAAAAAAAAAAAATCAACGTTAAATAACCGGAAAAAATATCGATGTGTCGTTAAAATCAACCGACCTAAACTAACATTGATTAATTTGTTTCAAAATGTGTACGGTCTGCCCGAAAATGTGCAATTGAAGATATTATAATTTTAGAAACATTTATCCAAACAAAAAAAGAAGGATGATAAAAAGTAATTTTAATTCAGTAAAAACCATTTGTATAAAAAACTTAAAATATTTTAGAAAATTTTTTACTCCTCCTTTTATGTACCATGCCCCTTCAGAGCGTTAGTGATCATGGGTCTCCACAACTTCCTGTCCATTGTAGCTATAAATTTTGTCTTTTCGTTGACTTTCCTAATCCTTGTGCCAACCGGGCTTACGGCCACATCACGGTTCCCTTACGATCACCAAAGTGAAGCAACGTCGAGTCTGGTCAGAACCTAGATGGGTAACTGCTTGTGAATACCAGGTGCTGTAAACTTGGATGTGCAGATGGTGTAAGGGATAATGGCTCAGAATTGTTAATGTTCCAATTCCCGCAAATACCCTGGGGAATTACGCGCAAATACCCTGGGGAAAGGTATGAATCCAGCACTTCTCCCTCAGCTATAGGTTAATTAGTAAGACTTTTATCATTAAACCATTATTATGTATAACCAAATAACTGCAAAGAGTTGATAGGTCGTAAAAAATAAAATATTCTGCTAATCATGCTCGTTTCCTTTGCACCTTCTTGCCTTCCATATATCCTGTGAGTTTCAAATGTTCTAAACGCTCTTTCCTTTTAATATTAAATATTTGTCCGTTTTTCTTTCTATTGCATCTAAAACTTCGTCATTGCTAACATATGTAATTCATGTTATTTTCAGCATTCTTCTTTAGAACGATATTTCTCTTGCCTCAAATCTCTTCTTCATCTGTCAGGAAACTTCCCAGCATTCATTGCAATATAGGAGGATTGATATTACATAACAATTAACTACTCATTTCTTTGTTTCTAACCAGATTTTCCTGTTTCCTAAAACTTTGCTTATATTTTCGAAGACATCTTTCGCTATTGCAATATTCCGGATTTCAGTGTCGCACTTTCCGTCCTCTATGAAAACACTCCCTAGATATTTCAAATATGTGTACTTGCTTGATTCGGGCATCTCAAATTTGTAATTCGAAACGGAAGTTACATTAAGGCAGTAGGAATGTGACTGATGTCGATCTGCCAGGAGAGGACCGATAATGTTGCAGATTCTGTTTTGGATGTTACCAAGAATCTCTCTCTCTCTCTATATATATATATATATATATAAGAAACGTCAGATCACGTGGGGCAACAGTTTGCGATGCACGGATGAAAAGTAGATTTATAAATTTGCAAGATAGATTCTAGCAAGAAAAATTGTCTGGTACGACATAGAAAGCCGACATTACTATAAGTAGACTTAGCGATTGATTCAATATAATCGTTCCATTCCATGCCATTGTGAAATGTGAGAAGAAGAAGACACCGAGCTCTTTTGACTTTGTGAGGGAGCACAGAGTAAGGAAGAGACAGATGACATTTCTGGGGCACATGATGAGAAAGGAGGGTCCGGAGAATCTGATACTCACGGGGCGAATAGAAGAGAAAAAGACACAGGGGAAAACAGCGCATGACATACGAGGCTGGCTTGGGCAGGTGAGTGGCGGAGCATGATCTGGAGGAGTTGGCAGAAACACAAAACCTGTTGAGAGCCAAAAGAGATAGGGAGAATTGGAGGGCCATAATCGCCTACGTCCTGTAAAGACACGGCACATAATAAAAGAAGAATCTTTCAGAGAGAACCGTATATAATATAGGAGCCGGCACAGATAGACTTTTAGATCAAAGATTCCTGATAGACATTAAATTCAATTCAAACCTCTTGTATTTCCTTGCGATTCTGGACCACGACAGTTGACGGCGAATGAGTTGCTGTGTAAGTTTGTTTCCAAGTCCCTTATTTAGAGATTTAAAAATAACTCTTTAGACGTTCCTATTACTAGAATATTTTGCCGATATTTTTGCTTGTAAAGCACAAGAAAACATTAATTTAATGACTCGTGTTGCCGAAGGCCTTCTATTATTTTTATTATTACGTAAGTCGCCGCTGGTCATTTCCAAAATCAACGCAAATATTCTGCAATGATTTTTTAAAAAGTAGTAATTAAAAATTTAGCATATTATCCTAATTTGAATATTTTCTTTCCGCAATTACAAGAGCTCTGAATTAAGAGAAAGCTCTGTGGCAAAGTGCTGGGTAAATATCCATTCAAATATCGATGAATATTTACTTAGTTTATTGTAGGTCATGTAGGTAAAATAAAGTGTCAGTAAACTCTCAAAGAAAACGAGAAAAGATGCTCGAAAGTGCTTGTTGTTATGTTTGTGGCTGGAATGTGGCTTACATTCGTGGTGTCGCATCATTGTAAGCAGAACCGATATTTCTAAAATTTGCAAATTGGAAAGAAGTTAGCTCATTATGTTGGCTAACAGAGGTGTCTTAGCTTTAAACATTCTGCCATCATAAAAGAGGTATTTTATGCATATACATACATACATACATACATACATACATATATATATATATATATATATATATATATATATATATATATATACATACATACATATATATATATATATATATATATATATATATATATATATAGTGTAACCCGGATATAAGAGAGTTGTCGGGACTGGAGAAGACGTCTCTTATATCCGGGTTTCTCTTATATCCGGGTTTGGTCTATTTTATATACATTATCACAGGCTCTAATTTGGGACCAGAGAAAATCTCTCTTATATCCGGGTCTCTTATATCCGGATTACACTGTATATGATACAATATAGCTTTAAGTTATACTATATTCATAGGGTGAATTTATTCAATATCCAGAATAGAATGCATGTAAATATAAGCAGTGTGAACACTGGCTTGACGATTGCGTTTAGCGTGAAACAAACTGTCGCCTCAAGGTGCAGACTTCAATGTCAACTTTTATATATATATATATTCAGCCTTCCCTGACGATCCGCTTAGGTGAAACCTTGGTAGGTTTGTCTGGCTATGTAGGCTTAACTAGGTCTGCTATACTTACTGTATCGAGCACTTTATTTAGTTATTTTGCCTACTCGTATTTGGGCTTTGGACTTGCATGCTAGATGATTATTTTCGGGTAACGTACATGTTCTTTGTTCTTTCTTCTTTTTTATACTTTTTTTCCCTTTGGTATTGGTTTGATTATTTGTAAATCAAAACACTGAAAGTTTTCCGAACGTGTATAATTTCTTATACTTATAAGATTACTACTACTACTATATATATATATATATATATATATATATATATATATATATATATATATATATATATATATATGTTGTGATGGACAAATTGTCTAAATTTAATAGAAATGAAAATAACACTGACATCTCATTTTTTTTACCAAAATTACACAAAAATATTTTGAAACGCTAAAGTGTAAATTTATTCAATAAAATCACCATCACGGCCTCCAGACAACTTCAGAATCTTCTGCATCTCTTCTGGACGTTCTCCTTATTTAAATTGGTGAATGCTGCCAAAATCCTTGACTTCAGTTCATCTTTGGTGTTACAAGGGGTTTTGTTGGTCTATCGTTCAACTGCGCTCTACACATAATAATCAAGTGCGTTGCAGTCTGGGAATGAGGTGGCCAAATGTAATGGATGATGTGAACGCAGAATCTGTCTGAGAGACATGATTGGGTTCTCCTGCTTGTGTGGCATGATGCAGAGTTCTGTTGATAGACATAGGGTCTTCACCAGCCACCCTCCTGACCCGGGGCATCACTATCTTCTTAAGTCACTTGATATACACCTCCATGTTGAGTCTGAGGCCATCACCAACAAATTCCAGAGCCCTTTTCTTAGAAAGATCAGAGTTAGTTTTCCGAGCTGCGGTACCTTCGTAACTACCATTAGACCCATCCAATTCTTTCCGAATCCTCAGCACTTTCATCAGATTGACATCCAAACACTCTTAAATGTTCGGATAGGAGCTTCCGGCGCGAATGCCAAGCACTGCCGTTTCAAATTTTCTGTCGGAGTGAATTGCATCATGTTGCCCTTTTTTTCATTGACGATGCCCAACTGATTCTATACTATGTAGTCGACAAAATAAAAAAAACAAACAAACAACGCGCATGCGCGAAATTAAAAAAAAAAATAAAGTGACGACGATTTACCCATCGCACTATATATATATATATATATATATATATATAATTCTTTTCAGCCCAAGTAAGGTGGACATTCTACTACTACTGTACTGATGCGGCATTCACCCTGGGCGGATTGGCTTCTTCCTGTTATGAGAAGAAGATTCTTGGGATAAATTACAGAAGTAGGGTACCCAGGCCTACTCGGATAACGTTCTTGCTTGCCGCGGGGTTCCCACAGACGCAGAGACAGGAAGGACCAGAAGCCGCCAGTTGCCGATGCAGACGCTCCTTGGATTTTCACCAGAGCCCTTGTTAGCCGGCGTGTGTGTCAGACCTGTCCGCCTTGGGTGGCCCTACCAGGAACGAAGTTCCGGGCAACATAGCTCTGACACTACCGTTTTTACACCCCCCACCGACTGTGAGGTAAGGGTTGGACTTTGGGGGCTTACAGTA